ACACTTTGAAAACGAGTTTTGGGATTGTGGGCTGAAGGCTGCTCACACCAGCTGTTAGTGTTTTCGTTGACATTTCTTGCATCCTCTCGTTACATTTTTGCTACACAAAAACAAAACCACAATGCTTGTCCCCCATTTTCTTTTCATTAGCAACCTCTTACTTTCATTCTTATTTTACTTTGACCAGTCAATTAAAAATAAGTCCGAAATAGCGTATTGAAAATGACAAAATATGACTTCCACTTCGATAAATAATCGAAAAAACTAGTGAAGACACCGATTGGAATGAGTGGAACGTGAGTTNTGGACGAAAATACAAGTTTTATGTCGAAAACCAGTTTTAGCAACGAAAACATGTTTTCGATGTCGGTCAGAACATGGTAAATGCGCTTAATGTGTTTTTACGCGTAAACAAAAACAGCCCATTAAATCTATCCGAAAAACGGATTAACTGGCAAGACTGCACACCAGTCCAATTGGACATTCAGAATTTGACAGCTTTTTGTCGGCGAGCAAGTGGAAAAGTGCTTAATTGTTTGCCCTGTTTTGAGTTGATACAATTTGGATAAAATTTGTATAATTTGGCGATAAATGCGGTCAATAGAGGTGAGCCTTGCATCCTAGTTTCCTAAAGGTGAGCGTATAAAGTGCGCTGGAAGTTTACTTAAAGGTTTTGACTCAGAACAAAGGTATAAAGCAAAAGCATCCAACATTGATTTTTCGCCTTTAAGCTTTTGTCGTTGTCCTTTTTCTTGGCCAAAAGCAAGAGAAGTTGTCCCAAAGATCAATGAAAGGCAGGGGTCAAATAGTACGATTTTTTGTAAGTGACAAAACGTGATTCGTCACATACAATTTGTAATCTAAAGCACTGATAAGCAAATCAACAGTGCAGCGCGGGAAGGTGCATTTTTTAATTTATAATGGAAACTAACGGAGCGGAAAATCATCCAGTTGTGACGAGTAAAGATCCAAAAACTTTCATATAAAAATGAGAATAAAAATTAAAACTTATAGTACATACATTTATTTTCAACAAATTTAGTTTTGTTTTTACGACATACAAAAGTGATTTAAAAATTACCTATTACACCACTAAACGTTTGCCGTTACTCTATTTTTTTTTTTAGCATTTATTTAAAAAAGTATTACATCTTTCGTGATAAAGGCACTCCATAAATACTGTTGTTGGTGATGATGCTATTAACATTAGGCAATATACGACTACCTGGCACTATATTGGACGGCTCGTCGCGTGAATGATTGGACTTCTTTTTTGTTAGTTTTGTCTTTACTTTGCGTACAAACGTGTTGGAACTCAATGTGGACTTAATTGATAAGTTGGNCGGCTCGTCGCGTGAATGATTGGACTTCTTTTTTGTTAGTTTTGTCTTTACTTTGCGTACAAACGTGTTGGAACTCAATGTGGACTTAATTGATAAGTTGGTCTTATTGAGCTTTGAAGCTCCACCTGTGTTACTGTTTTGTTCCTTTTTGCATGCACCACCTGCTACTGCGCCACTAAGTGACAGTTGTGATTTGTTATTTCGATGCCCCTTTTTAATCTTTTTTGATGAGGATTGCTGCACTGCCGTGACTACAATGCCTCCTGTTTTGAAACGATTGACCCCCGGCACACGGGCTTTGGATGTATTTGACGAAAGTCCAGTATGCTGCTGTAGGCTGACGCTGCAAGTGCGCGTTGCAGTTGATTGACCATGATCACCTCGCGCTCTCGACCTGCCCTTGGTTAAGCGGGAAATAAGCTGTGATGTATCGGCGATTTTTATAAGTCCATTGCTAAAACGAAAAAGTATATATGTGCATATGCATGTATTTAGCAGCAGACGAGTTGGATATAAAAATAATTCTAAATAAGAGTTTAATATTCCAAAATTACACATATGCACATATGTATGTAGTTATTTTTAAAAATTACCTTCTCCGTTTCACCTTATGCTCGCCGACTGCTGCCTCCTCTTTTGTAGGGGTTTTTAAGTCCTTTTTCACTTGCGAAACTTTTCTAAATATACGCAGGGTCCGTTCATCATCAAAAATTTCTGGCATACCCAGCGTCAAAGCGCCCATTTGAATATCAATTTTTCGTGTTAGTATTGGCGAAGCACTAAGGTCTCTGGCCACAAACGTTTTTCCCACATTATTTAGTTCCTGCTGCCAGTGTAGCAGCTTTTGTGAACAAGCACTGTAAGTCAATATTTCCTTATTCGCAATACTATGTAGAGTTACATGTATTCCGCGTGTAAACTTACTTAAGAAAAGCCTCATTGTCTGCTTTTCGGTAGATAGAATCGTCTAATTTTTCTCGTGAGGGTTTTTTCATGCGTTCATACGCCGCATGTCTTGATTGTTGCCCAGCTGGGTGCTGACGCCGCACTATTTGTTGATTCCATGAAAGTGGTCGCGGATGCTCTAGAGTTTCTCTGCTCTTGTCAGACTTTACACCAGCCCAATACCTTTTCTTCAGCGATAATTTCAAATCTAGTTCTTCTATTTTACTTTCGTTGGGACTATAAGAGCTCGAGAATCTAAAATCAAAAGATAAATACTTATTTATCAAGAAATGCGTTCGGACAGCCCGATCTAAAAGTAGCCTAATACCCATACATTTACATATATCAAGGAGTACCTACTCAATTGGTCAAACAACCAATAATTTAAAATATGACACAGTACTACGACCACGTTGGTGCATTCGCTTATTAAGCAAATTATGATTAGTAAGTGTCAGCATATTTTAATTCCAGATTCCAGTCACTACTAAATATTCTTGTAATAATAATATAATATAAAACCATTCATGTAAAATTACAAGGTTGGCGAATTTTACATACATAGATGTACATAGACGGCCGCTGTGGTGTAGTGGTAAGCAGTGCGCGCTTCCACTCCGAAGCGCCTTGGTTCAAGCCCTGGTCAAAGCCACTTCTCAAAAAATTTAGAAAAAAAGTTTTCTCTTAACAGCGGTCGCCCCTCGGCAGGCAATGGGAAACCCNCCGCACTGATGAAAAATGGCAACATTATTGCAACTGCCCAACTTATAATACATTGCTAGAAATTCACACAGAACGTGATACTTTAATAATTCGCGCAACACTGCGGTTGTGATTGCAACTCGAACAAGCCCAAAGTAATAATTTTTCTTCCATTGGAGAGTCTTGAACGCCCTTTCCCATAATCACTAATCCACTCACTTTTGTCGGGCCATACACACCGGTCTAGACGCATTATTGTTGAGATTATGCCATGAATTAGTGCGTCTAGCCGCCTTAAAAGTCACCGGAAATTCAAGAATACCGAGCGCATCTGGTTCCGTATGGGAGGTCGCCATATTTGGCTTTATAGTGATTTTCGTACCCTTTGATGGCGATGTAATAATCAATTCAGGTGGCATTTTAGCTCTACCTCGTCCCGTTGCATTATCGCCAATTTCCTCCATATAGCGGCGTTGCAGCTCACTTTGTAAAAGACGACGTGCACGTGCGCGTGGTACAGTGCAATATTGTGGCACACAATCGTCTCCATCAGGTGCGTTTGGCTCCTCGTCGGTGGAGAATATCAAATCGGCACTAGGGTCAGTCGTGGGAAGATCCAGTGCTATTCGAGTTTCGCTGCGTTTGCGATGACTATGTGAGCGACGAACGCGTAACTTACGATGCTGAATGGAAGACAGAGGAAAAGAAAGAAGAAACAAAATAAATAAATTAAATTATTGATGTGGTCGGTTAAGATTATATAAAAATTAAATAGCGAACACTTTTCTTCTTGTTTTGTTCTGTATGCGATTTTGACCCATGTATGTATGTGTTCAACAACAAGTGAACAGTGTTACAGTTGTGAAAAGAGTGACAAATTAAAAAAAAATGTTACTCCTTCGAGCCGGATTTGAACCAGCGACCTATGGATAGCTACGATTCGGCTTAAAATTTTTCTACAGTCCACCGCTCTACCAACTGAGCTATCGAAGGTGCTGCCCGCTCGGTGTCAAATGTAACATATCAAATTAGGGGGCTTAATTTTTGCAAAGAGGCTATATACTTCAATTAGTTGCAGGAATGAATGCGCAAATGCTATCAAAAAGTTCTTCCTAGCAATAGCTGACTGGACGATTTTAGTTGGTAGTTCATTCTTATTTTCGGCAGAAATTAGCAGATGAGAATAGAACAGGCAGAAAGAATGCAGGGGAAAAGCCCAAACTAAGTTTATACACATGTATGCATGTATGTAGTAGAAACCCTGCTGGAAACGGGGCTAGTTTATAGCAAACTTTTAACTACCCAGCAGTTAACTAGTTATATTTTATTAACTACTTTTGAAGGGCGATGGTCGCTAAAAGTGAGAGCTGGTTTAGTCTGCATTAGATGTCAACTTTCTTGTACCACTTTTGGCATTCAATAAAAAAGATTATTTAAACTGTTTAAATTTTTACTTATTTGCTTTATGTAACTCGTACATATATGTTATTTGTTTACATTAGTCCCTTACTTGAATTCCAACATCAAAATGATAACATAAAATTTCAATCTTTATTATATATATCCTGAATTCGAGAAAACATCTGCTGATTGCAGAAAAGAGATGTATTCAAAGTACGCACGACTTTACAATTCACTTAAAAAAAGTTTTATCATAGGAAGTTAGGCATTTATCGAAATCCCACAAAAAAAGCGACCGATAGGTCTGATATTTTGTATTAATTGATAGTTTNAAAAACAAAAAATTAACAATATTTACAAGAATGCATACATAAATCAATAAACAAAACCTTTTCCCTCATAACGATTGAAAAGCCACATGCTATAATGACTCTGCTTACGACGTAATACCGAAGTACNTGTATTCGGATTTTGCTACGAATCGTAGAAATAGTATGCGTCAATCCGAATGGGCCTGAGCACACTAGCCTGCGCAGTCGGACTGAGCAGTCCACCACCAGCATTGCCGTTTTGGTCCAATTGGACCAAAATTGGTAGGTTTATTCTCCTTTGGTAGCTTGGTTGGTTTGATGAACCTTTTGGTAGGCAAAAATGTTTTGAAAATACAACCGAATTGAGCACTAAAATTTGTTCGCTTAATTTATGTTTACACGTTCAAAATATTGCTTTCACTTTGTTAAGCAGACAANAATCCCAACAAACGAAAATCATGCCCTAAGTAGAAATGAGCAAACAAAATATGTTTTCATTATATAACCTCAAATATTGTCAAAAACTGTGATTTGGCNACTAAAATTTGTTCGCTTAATTTATGTTTACACGTTCAAAATATTGCTTTCACTTTGTTAAGCAGACAATTCTGCAAACAAAAACTAACTTCCCAAAGCTATGATCGATCAGCTGTTGAAATAGAACGAAAAATTACTTATCGTCTTGAAAAAAAATTGATGATAGGCAATTTGTAATGTGTGGGTGTATTGGTAAAAAGTTGGNGAACGATGTGTTTTACTCAGGTGGTACAAAAATAAAAATTTTTACAAATAGAAAATAAAAAATGAAATAGACTTACTCGCATATCTACTAGCATTTTCAACGCGAATAGAATTGAACAAGGTGAGTTTGCAAGTTCAGCTTTTTATCAATCATGGTTTTATTTAAATGCATTTAAATTTGTAGATTTTTGTAAATTCAGTGCTGCCACAGCTTTAAATATTTAAAAATTATTTCAGGTTTTAACNTATGTGTAGTTTTTATTTTGGCTGTTAATTTGTGCTGAAAATCCCGTAAATTCAAGAAATCTAGCTTTAATGAGGAAAAAAAGTTTGGTAGTTTCCAAACTGATTTTGNCAATAATATGTGTAGTTTTTATTTTGGCTGTTAATTTGTGCTGAAAATCCGGTAAATTCAAGAAATCTAGCTTTAATGAGGAAAAACAGTTTGGTAGTTTCCAAACTGATTTTANTCCGCGAATTTCGCGGACTGAAATGAGCGAGGTAAACTCGAACTCTCTTCCCCCGCTTATCTCCACAAAACNTAGAAAACATGTTGTCTATGTGTGCGTGTCAGTCCACCGTCAATCCGCGAATTTCGCGGACTGAAATGAGCTCTTTATACTCGAACTCTCTTCCCCCGCTTATCTCCACAAAACCGGTTTTAGGCGGACTGAGCAACAATTCAACCAGAAGCTGACGTAGAAGCGCCTATGTTTACCTTTTTGAATCCATTGCCATAGTGCCCGCTTACTCTGCTGCTATAATTGCAAATACATCAGAATCCATAAATTTCCTCAAAATATGTAAAATTAAGCAATTTTACAATAAACAAGCACATGATGAGTGTTTTTTTAATTTCTTTCCACTTTGTTTTCCTTCATTCAGCTATCTTCGAAAAACAACTGATAGCTGGCAATGCTGCACATGTTTCCGCAAGGGTTGCAGCATGCGGATTTTTCCTTTTTAATAGCGTAGCTACGAATTACGAATTACGAAAATTCGGGTTCTAGAATAAGGGGGTACGTTTGTAGCATTTATGTATGTACATTAGACTGCATCACCAAAACAATTTGCTGGTTTTCCGCCAGGATTACAAAATTTATTATATTTTAAGACTCGCCAAAATATATCGGAAAAATATTCAGATTTACTTCAGCTGGACCGATTGGAAAATACCTCCAATAATGGAGTTCTTTATGAATAAAAATAGTTTCTTAAATTCTGTTAAAGTTAAAGTTTTAAAAATCTACATAAAAATATTCAAAAGTTTTTTCAACGGAATCATAATTATGAGATTTTCGATGCTGTTGTTCCCCTTTTTTCTAAGAAAAACTTGAATAACTGGGCCAAAACTATACCGATTAGACTTGCAAAGTATCAGTTGAAAGGCATTCTCTAACCTTTTTTATTTCTTTGCAAAAAACTCTTTCACGTTCCAATTTTTTCTTGAGCAAATACCAACACCTGGAATGAGGATCGTTTGTCTTACCTTTCTCTTTCATGTTTTGAATGAGCTTATTTGAAAAGAAATAAAACGGGTGAGAAAATTATATTTCAAAGATACCTTATAAATCTGGATCGGCTGAAGGTTAGGCTGAGTTATTCAAGTTTTTTTAAACCAGCCTTTGAAAAAAGTTCAAAAAACAGCATCAAAATTCTCATTATTGTGATTCCGTTGAAAATTTTATATCCGAGCGCACTTGTGCACAAGGGTATTATAACTTTGTTCACATAACGGTTGTTTGTAACAGCCAAAATGTATCGAGATAGATATGGACAAATGTATACATTAATGATCAGAATGAAAAGAGAAGTCGATTAAGCCATGTCTGTCTGTCCGTCCGTCTGTCCGTGTACACGATAACTCGAGCAAAAATTGAGATATCTCAAAGAAATTTGGTATGTAGGTTGCCCTTTATCCAAGGTAGGCTGGTATTGAAAATGGGCGAAATCGAACCGTAACCACGCCCACTTTCCATACAACGGTATTTTCGAAAAATGCAAAAACTGCGATATTTCAGTAAATATTAGATGCAAATTGTTGAAAATTAGTATGTGGAGTAGAATTTTGGTAAAAAATAATATTGTTAGAAATTTTTGGAAAATGGGCGGGACCCCACCCACTTACGATGAAATGCTGTATCACAGTAGCCGCTTCACCAATCCTTGCCAAACTCGGTACGAGGCTTGGGTGGGGCATAGCTAAAAAATCTTTGAAATCAGGCAATAACCACGCCCACCTGCCATATAACGGTAATTTACAGAAACACGAAAACCGCGATAAATCAGTAACTACTGAAGCTAATTCACTTAAAACCGATGATTGCAATAAACACTTAGCTGAAAATTAGAATATTATAAATTTTTGNGCCATATAACGGTAATTTACAGAAACACGAAAACCGCGATAAATCAGTAAGTACTGAAGCTAATTCACTTAAAACCGATGATTGCAATAAACACTTAGCTGAAAATTAGAATATTATAAATTTTCTGATAATGGACGTGGCCTATTTAGGACCACAAATGTGTATCACGGTAACCGATTTATCAATTTCCACCAAACTCAGTTCACTTAAAAACCTTGGTACGGAAAAGCAATTTGTTGAAAATTATTCAAATCGGACTAAAATTACACTCGCTTCCCCTATATCGTTGGATTTCAGAAATACTAAAACTCCGTTATTTCAATAACTGAGGACGCTAATTTACTTCAAGTTAATAGTTACAACAATCTCCTAACGATAAATAATACTGCTATAGACTTAAAGGAATTGGCCGCAGCACCGCCCACTTTATAATTACAAAGGTGTACCTCTGTAACCAATTAATCGATTTGTACTTAACTAGGTTCAATTATATCATTAAGTCTTACTCAGCATATTACTGAAAACGTTTGAAATCGGGTAAATACCCCTACTTATCATGCAAAGGTAGTTCAGTGAAAGTTGAAACGGCGATATTTGATACCTGCGCCGGTTATATAAACTTCGGTTTCGCCCGAACTTATACTTCTTTACTTGTTTTTAATATTTTTATGCAAATTTTTTAAACTTAGACTATTTTGTCATCTAAGGGGATTTTTTGCAAAAAATACTAAAAAAACTGTTTTTATTCACAAAACACTAAGATTTTGGAGGTATTTTCAAATCGGTCCAGCTCACGTAAATTTTAATATTTTTCCGAAATCTGTCGTTGAAAGTCTTAAAATATAATAGATTTTATAATTGCGGTGAAAGAACGGTATCGATTTTTTTTGTATGGGGCGTGATGCAGTATAA